GTGAAATGTGAAAAATTAAGATCATTAAACAATATAAAACTAAAATAATTACGGTTTTTCCAACAATTTAATTTTCTTAAATGGGCGTGGCCACCAAGGCGTGGTTCTCAACATCATCAGAAAACTTAAAACCACATATTAAACGAAATGCCTTCATGACATTTATATTTGAATAAACGAATTCTTAAACAGTTAACATTACTCTTCATACTAAAAAAGCCGATTCAAGATATTTTACCTCGTATAAGAAACCAATAAAAATATGGGAGTGGCCGGTGGGGACGAAGCTGGAAGAGTTGGAAGCTGTAATTTTTTTTGGTGGTTTTGAACCTATGGATCAACAAGATAAGAACATACTCATTAATTATTCAAGGGGACTTTTTGTTTTTTGGAACCGGTCTAACTTACATTGAGTGGATTATCTTGATATTTATCTCAGTTTCAGTATTACACTAATTGCATACGTTGCTCTTTTCTTACTCTCTTATCTTGTGCTTATCTTGTTGATTGTAACGTGCAGCTACAGAGGCTTTGTGTATCACCGTGTTACCCGACCATGACCATCCCGCCAGCGAGTATGGTGAAAGGATATCAACATGTTAAGGAGAGACTCAGTTGAACCTCTCAGCTAGCGCTATGTACGAGTGGAGATCACAGCAATGAAGCAACTATCCCCTTCTGCGTGAATGAAGAAGATGAACAAGGACACTGCGTGTAACTTGTTGCCACGAGGCATTAAGATATTTGGAGGGAGTTCACTGGTGTCGTACCACGGACTACAAGATGGCCGCAAAACTCAGTTAAACTCAGATGTTCGAGACACAGGGAGTCCATCATTAAGCTCAGTCAAGAACTACTAGCCTGCAAAATGAAACGTTGGAAGCGTTGCAAGACGTCATTAAAATCGTCAGTCGGAGAGTCTGTCAAGGCTGATTCAAATCCTTCAGCTCGGTATTACAGGCGAATTGTCCAGAATCTCAGAAGCCTGTCAGTTCTGAAATGATCAAGAAAAGTGCTGAAAACTGTGGTACAGGAGGAAGACCGAAACAAAAATCTGATGATTTTTGGTTTATCGGAGCAGGACAATGAGGAGCTCAGCACCGTGGTCAGTGAAGTGTTTTTAGCAATCGGAGAGAAACCCAGAATCGAAGCTAGCAGAGTCGGAAAGCTCAAACCTGGCAAGGCTGTGAGACCAGTTAAAGTGACTGCGGCAAGTGCAACAATTGTTAATCAGATTCTCGCTAAATCGAGAAACCTGCGAGCAACGGAAAAGTTTAAACTGTTTTTATCAGCCCAGATCGATCTCCAGAACAGAGAGCCAAGCAAAGAGAACTCGTCAGGGACATGAAACGACTGGTAACTGAGCAGCCTGATAAGCTACACTTTATCAGAAACGGTGCTATAAAGAGTACTGATAAGACTAATAAGACTGCAGAATGAGCTTGTGTGTAATAATTTATTATTATTAGTGTATTCAAGTTTTTATGTGGAGGATGTTTTTAACTCACTCTTGTGTGCCCAGTCTTGCACTGTCAGTATTTCTCGACACTTTGAGCACACAAAACTGTCAGTTTTCGCGACAATTGTCAGATTTCGTTTTCAGTTCTGTCAATTTCAAGCGCTACTAGCTCTACTACTAGTAGTCTACTTCAGCTCACATTAAAGGGAGTTTTCGTCGTGCGTGTAGCGCCCTTCAAGTTTAACTTGGACGGATAGGATTTATAAAACTTCTGATTATAATATTTATACTATATTGTATTTTGTATTTATGTATTTTAGTAAATGGTCATTAGAACCACCGGCACCGTCCGGGCCCAAACAAACAAACAAACATAATGATAATCTCAAATTTCAAGACAAATTAATGTCAATTAATGTCAATTAATGTCAATTAATGTCAATTAATGTCAATTAATGTCATTTAATGTCAATTAATGTCAATTAATGTCAATTAATGTCAATTAATGTCAATTAATGTCAATGTCAGTTTGGGGTTTTTATGGAATACTGACATTAATTGACGTTGCATCACCCCCTTCTCAGGTCGACCAAACGAGACATAGTGAGGTTGACTTGGCTGACATTACTCCTACAATGAATTGTAAACTGCATACCTATACCGCACCCATTACTAACTTGGTGATGATAGATGGTCTCTGATATGAAATGGTTTGGGAGCCTCCAAGTGGAAAATAACGGAGCTGATATATGGTTTCAGTATAACCAAGAACTTTGAATTTATCATTCAACATGGAAACGTAGTCAGGACCAAGTTGGTATGGTTTTAATTCCAGAAGAAGTTCAGTCACAGTTTCCTGGGGATGGTTTGTTCTCAACGATCCAAGCAATCATAATTTCTGAGTAGATAAAATGTTTCGAGTGTGTATCAAAGAGCCTATGTGCTTCTATAATTTGATCTTTGTTCATTTTCTTCCAAAGCTTGTCTTTAACTATAGCATCAGTGAGACAAATCACCCCATCAAACAGAAAATGAGGAATACTACAAGGAGATCGTGCTTCCATGAGAATTGACCAAAGCTTCTTCTTATAATCAATATATCCTTTGGGCGCAAGAGTTTCAATGGATGCGGAATCAATTTTCGTGATCAGACAGCGAAAATTTCTCTCGGAGAATTTCGTAATCTCATCAAAGCTGTTACAAAGCAAAGGAAGCACCATTGCGACGTTTTCTTCCGAAACTATTTTGCAAATCAAATCAGCAAAACAACTGACGAGAACTTTTGTGGCAAACATAAACTTGAGCAGATCAGTTTGATTGACCTCAGAATCACTCTTATAAAGATTCACTACAGCATCAGGTCCAACCATCTTCAAATACGTAGCGATATGAATACATGGATCTTTAAGTAACTCAGTTCCACAAAGTTTTGCAAATTTTGAAACACTGCTGCATATATTAAATATCTCCAGAAAGTTCTCCACACTAAAATTAGTCTCAATCCAGTCCAGGCACTGCAAGTAAACCTCGTTGATACCAAACTGAACACTGAACTTCATAAGATCCAGGATATTGTCCATGTTAAGAGAAACCTCAGCTCCGTGAAGAACTAGCAGACAGTCCTGTACGTGAGTGTAGTTATCTAGGAAAAGTTCGTTGTCCTTAGCAACTAGTTGCTGGAGAATACCACTGTGTTGACATAACACTGCTCCACTGCATTCTATCACTTCACTTTTTGTTACCACTTTCACTGTGTGTTGTATCTTATTCTTCATTTTCAGAAAGCGGGTGAAGTCAGTTTTGAAGTCTAGCTTAACGACAATGACTTGTGAGGAATAATTTTGGTTAGTTTGCAGAACTTTGAGATATGAAGTGACACGTTTTGAAATAAATGAGTTTAAATTCAAATTATATAAATCCTGATCACATCAGTCAACAACAAGTGAGTGAAAAGGAACATAAATCAGAATATTTTTTACGTTTTAAAACGTATCAAGTATTAGTTAAAAACAATATTGATATAACTGAAGAAGGTGATCAACATATAATTTTAACCAAACAGCTTTGATTGGATTAGGATCTGTCTCTAGGTCCTCGCACAGAAATATCTGTACTTAAACGTTTATTCAAATTAATCAAAAGTTAATCTAAGTCATTCGAAATAATGGTATTAGTTTCATCATCATCATGACCACTTAGCCAAACTTTAAAATGTAAGCCAAAGTGGCTGGCTCTAACGGCGTTACTAGTTTAGATATTACAGAGATAATGTCTTTGAATTAAATATGTCATCCTTTTAATAATAAGATTATATCCCCATAAAAAGATAGAAAATCTGTTTAAAATTAAAATTACTAAAAAAATCTATAATTTCTGATTAAAGCGCCTATTTCTTAAGTTGCTGAAGAAAATCTTCGTGAAAGAAGATCCGTTTGTTATTGTAAGGCTGTTCTTCCCACCCCTCGGATGATAACAAATTCATAGACGCAACATTGTGTAACTTTACAAAGCCCTGTGTCCGGTAGTCCGAACCGTGTGCCTCTCGAAGTACCTTCAGCATGTGTCGGAGGATAATGCGACCCAGTTTCTTTCCACGATGTTTCTCTAAGACGTGGAGCATCCCCACGTCCCCTCCAGGGTAAAACGCTGCCCATGCTACTGGTGTAACAGGGTTACTCTCAGAAAATACACCAAATCCAGGCCTTTCTGTAATATTTGATACGACTAATGGGCGAAATGGAAAGTCTGAAAAGTTCTCTGTCGGTGTGTCTGGATCCGAATGCAGCTCAATATCAATTGCCCAATGTTTTACTATAAAGTTGATATGGTTCTCTAACAATGGCCCTATTTTGTAGCCTTGAGGCATTGGTATGTCCACCATAGATTCTATTGGAGACTTGAACATTTTGTGTTTGTAAATCGAATGCTCCTCTCTATAACGTGAACCTATTTTCTCTTCTATCCGCTTTAATACACATTCATACAACTTTGACGACTGTAAAGCAATTCCAATAGCCTGCTTGCTAAAGCGTTCTAAATTTCCTTCACAAAGTAAAATATCCTGGAGAAATGTATTAACTTCAGTAATGTTTGCATTGTCATCGATGTAAAGGGTTATCCCAAAAGGACCGTCAATCAGTCCTTGCTTATCAAGATGGAAGATGATTCCAAAAATATTTCCTTGCTTCGACCGGAAAAATTGAACTGTACATTCCTCCTTAATCCACCCTTCCTCAATAAATTTTAATTGAAGCTTAAAGAGGGTCTTATCTTTGGGGATTTCTGAAGATCTTAAAGGGATTATCTTCTCCATTCTTTCAGCATAGGTGCTTCAAATTATTCATGTGCCTAGATAATGTAATGAGTAGTAGAAAAAGAAGAATTTTATAACGATGCCTAGACTCGTGATCAAACACCAGTCTAATAAAACAGTGTTTATTTACTGATCTTCTTTTCCGCATCAAGTGAAAAGAATTTGAATTAATAGAATTAGGATATGGGTAATATGAAGGTACGCAGTAATGTTGTAGGCTACATCTAGGTTCCATAAAAAAGCTCTATTCAAACTGTTTTTGAAGTTTTACTCAATTAATAAACATTCAACATCATAAAATTCAATTATTCAAATATTGATACTCGTGAGAAGACAAGACCTAATTTCTGGCAAAGACTGGTTCGAGTGTAAAATATTAGGTGTTTGTGAATAACATCTTTAAATAGAATAATTTGGCATGAGCAGCATTAATATTATACAAGCTTTCAAATAAAAATCTTTCCGTGGTCCAAAAAATATCAGGCCTGATAAATAAACGTGTTTCAGTTCTTAAGTTTTTATAATCTAAGTTGAAATTTATCAGTTTTATCTTGCAAAAGAATTGAAAGCAAGTCAAGCAATTTCACAACATGCATCATCAAATACTACACTAAAAAGGGTACAGTGTGACTAAGATAACCAAGGTCTAAGAACACATTTATATCTGAAGGAGTACCGGCAGCGAGAAGTACAGGCTGTTCTCTCGCAACAGTGTTAACTGATATGTCTTTCACTGATTCTAGTTTACTGGTCACCTGTGTAATTAAGGTGTGGAGAGTTGGTGGAGCAGTCAAGATAATTATTGGGTGATTATAATTGGGTAATTAAATGAACATATCCATCACCTCCACCACAGTGGGCTACCATGCTAGCATAGGCCTAAAATCGACTTTCTTAAATTTCTTTGAAAATAAGCTTTTCTTATTGTGAAAAGCTAGCCCGATTTCATGCAAAAAACCGTAATTAAAAACTTTGTAAGATGCCAAAATGGCGTCGCGTGAAAAAATACCATTTTTCACTGTCAAGAAATTTTGCATTTTTCAACCAAAAATTGCCTAATATTTATTATTTTGGGCTAAAATGCCTGATTAAGGCAGTTTTTAATAATTGAAATACAGTATAGTACTTAAGAATACTCAGCCATCTAAAAAAACTGTATGACTTTAACATTTTCACCTGATTTTTGACCGCGCCTTTTTTATGGCGTGTATTTTAGGCAATTTTTGGGGTATTTGATGACAGAAATCGTTGTTTGTTTGCAATAGTTCGATATAATGCATGGTATCATTAGAAAGCTTAGACAATTCCCAATCAGATGCAATATGAATCACTTTGGGCAACTTTGGGTTATATCTGTTTAAAAAATTAAGAAACTCAAAAATTGGGTAAAATTTGCTGCATTTTTAGATAATTTATGAGCTCAATTTTGCTATTAAATTGACATATTTTAGTTATTCTCCATGTTTGTGGCATTTTTTGCATCCTAGACCAGATGCATATGGATGAAAAATCAAGATATCTCAATTATTATAGTTAAAATTGATAAAAATCCAAAAAATCGTGATTTTAAACGAAATTTTTGAAAATAACAGGAACAATTTGGTGTTTCAGAAAATTTTGGTCATATAAATGGGCACAACTTTTGTTCTGATCAATATTTTTTCATAATTCAAAAAGATTTGAGTTTCTAAGATAGCTGTCCTTCGTTTACAGTTCATAAAAGAGCTTTAAAATTGATTAAACCTCTAAAAAAACAACTTTTCCTGGGATCAGCCTCCTATTTTTGGACTACAAGATTGCTCAAAATCGGTCCAAAAATTTTTTCTGAGACATTTTCGGCCCTGTAAATGATTGGAATCGTATTTTTATACCCAAATTACCGTAGAAACAAAGTTAGGGGCATGTGTGATGGTCTAAAATACCCTATGCTAGCATGACCCCCACTCACAGCCCACTGTGTCCACTAACTATAATTTCATGTCCAATCTAGTATTTTAAAACCACCCAGCCTGCAACTATCAAACACAGGATATTCTTACCTTATATTTGAGTTTTCCTGATAATCCCCAGTGCATGAGATAAGGTGAGTTTCCTGCAGCTACAATGGTATCTGGCATGAAGCGAACAACTGATGGTACTGCATCCCCCATATCCAACAGGGCTATCCCACTCTCTGGCAAAACAGTGGTTTTCAAAAGCTATGACAAATATTTACAGAGAGTGTCAGTAAGTTTATAAGTTTTAAGAAAAAAATAATCAACAGTTCTACAGACCTTAGAATTAGAAAATATTCCTTTCCAATTCCATGGGCACAGGCAATACATATTATATTATAAACTAGAAAACCCGTGGTCACAGGAAGGAAGCTAATAGTATTTTTTGTTAGTAAGTTTAATCAACAAATATCCTACACAACCGAAGATACAGCCGATAAAAATATTGCTCGCACTAAACACAACGTAATATCAACAAAACCGATAAAAATGCCGTTCTAACAATCTTTGCACGCGCACGTGCGTGTAACAACCCTTTTTGGTCGTTACCATGGTTACTTTGCAACCTTTTGCTTTTTACCGAATTTTATCATACAAAAACAATTCTCTGAATTATAATAGAGATGTACACTTTAACTTGCATATTGTGAGGGGTACTAGATAATAGGTATGTACCTTCTTTGAGGTACCACAAAGAGAGGTTAGGACCACCCCCACATACCACCCAATCATCCCAAACATCTAGACAAGTTATGTGACATCCTAGTTTACTCCTCTTGGCTTTTTGCCAGCTTGACGGTGTGAACTGTTGCTCAACTTCCTTGCTCCTCCGGTCCCAAATCTATTAGGGGTATTTCAATTCTAGTGGATCGTTGAATTATGGATAATATGATAACTGTATACAATAGCAATTTCAGTTTTAACTCCAGAGCCCAGGGTAAGAAAACTTATTAATTTACATTTACATTATATTTAAACTCATTTAAAAAAGCTGTTTATGTGGGGGTTTACACTTTACAGTGTAATTAAAGTAATTAAAGAAGTTATAAAATTTACAAACCCTGCAGATTCCATCAAATCCAGCAGATACGAATGTGTTCTGGTCTCTTTTCCTCACTACATTCACTGATCCACTGTGACCATCATAATTGTTAATTAAAGTACCGGTATTACCGTCTACTTCAATCAGTTTACCGTTGTCTCCACCTGAATATAAAAAATGCTTGTTTAATTAATTTCTCAAAAGCTCCTGCTGTGCTCTTGCTATGATGACTGATCTTCCCTGTTTACAAGCCAGAATTCACTGATTAATTTTATGTTACAGGTTCAGATTAAAAGTCAATCAGTGGTGCAATATCATAAAGACTTATTGAAATGCCTTAGATGCATAAGAAAATAGCTTTCTTTGCTTAGTTTGATGTTGGTAATACAGAATGTGTCTGTAAGATAATGTTGACCTAACCTGAGATTATGTTGTCACCAATCCAGTCAACAGAGTAGAATGATGTGTCTGATTCTATGGAGCCAGGTGAGGACACAATATTGTCCCATTTGCAGATAGAAACTCCAGAATTAGTTGCAAGGGCATATACTTCTCTATGCTCTGAGTATTTATAAATTCGTTGATCCTCAATGGCAGGGATTTTACATGATGGTATGCTGCATGATAGGATGCCACTTTTAACATCTACAAGATATTTCTTGCACAGATTAGTTGACACAATGAGCTTGTCCTGAATGGGAGAAGAGATGATGCAGTCCACATGAGTGAAATAACTCTCTTTCTTCACAGGTTTTATCTTCACAACCATTATCTGCTATAAATAAGTCATTTAATATAAAATATGAACTTATTTTACAGCAATCCCTGATTTACCACGGAATTTGGGAGAAAGGAAAAATCTGTGGTAAATCAGGGTTTGCAGTAAATTGGGGTTTACAGATAGTCAGGCTTTTAATTCTTTACATTATGTTCATGTTTAACCATGTTTGGCCCGGTTTTAATGTATCTACAGGGTGGGCCAAAAGTCAGTGTGCAAACGTTGGGTCTTATACCTCCGCCGTGTTTTATATTTGAGAGCTGTTGCTTTGCAGATGGCATACTGTATTTACTGGTTCGAGGATTCCGTCGTCAAAATTTGAAAATTCGAATATTTTAGACCACGCCCATTCAATATTAAAACACCTATATTGTTTTCTCTGAACATGCTGAACGCCTAATTTTTTCAGAGACGGTAGATTATCAAATGTTGCATATGATCTGAAAACATGAGGCAAAACGGATTAGAAATGACGAAGTTATCAAGCACTTTCTGTATCTCGTTAACAAAATTGACTGGGTGATTATGTGACACCGTGACACGACACCTTAATTGGGCACCCTTAACAATTCCCATAATGTTTAACGGGGTAGTTAACGGGGTCACCTTATCACGTGATTAGGTAAACCAATCACCTGATCACACGTAATGAATTAACTCGTTATGCTTCATATCTCGGTCATCTGAGAAGCTACAGTTCTAATTCTTTCAGGACAAACCTAATTCGAATGGCCAAACACAATTCAATATTATTAAGCTTGATCCGACTATCCAAACTATCAAATAAATGTGAAAATGAACCTCCATTTGAAAAAAATGAACGCGAATATTTTTCGGGTTGACAAATTCCTCGAACCAGTGGTGGTACTAAGTCGTACCAGAAGGAAGTATTTCAATTGGGCACTCAGTGACTGAGCTATTAAGGCCAAAGTTTGCACACTGACTTTTGGCCCACCCTGTATATAATAATAATAGATTAATGTTATTTTTATACAGCACCAAAAGGTTAAATAATTCAAAATCTAGCTATGTCTTTTCTTATATTATCTTTTATATATGGGCTAATTCGAATGGCCAAACACAATTCAATATTATTGAGCTTGATCCGACTATCCAAACTATCAAATAAATGTGAAAATGAACCTCCATTTGAAAAAAATGAACGCGAATATTTTTCGGGTTGACAAATTCCTCGAACCAGTGGTGGTACTAAGTCGTACCAGAAGGAAGTATTTCAATTGGGCACTCAGTGACTGAGCTATTAAGGCCAAAGTTTGCACACTGACTTTTGGCCCACCCTGTATATAATAATAATAGATTAATGTTATTTTTATACAGCACCAAAAGGTTAAATAATTCAAAATCTAGCTATGTCTTTTCTTATATTATCTTTTATATATATTTCCTTATAATCATCTGTGGATAAATTCATACAAAATTGTACTATAATGTATAATGTAACTACTATATAATATATAATGTAATGTTTCAGCACGATTTGAGTCTTTTAAAAATAGGATTTTCCTCACTAAAATTGACAATCCATTCTGGGATAATTTTCGTATTCTTATGAGATGTAGAGTCTTAAAACACGTAACTGATTCAATTTCATGGTTAAATGTAATTAGGTTTAGGAGGCCATGGTGGGTATGGATTTGACTAATAATAATAAAAAGTCTATACAGTTACATATTTGAATTAGTTATAGCCCTTGTTGCGGGAAAAATATGTGTCCTGTTAATAAAAATATGATATTGTTGAAGTGTTCCAGTTCACAGAGCCATGAGTCTACGCATACTGCGTGACGCGCTTGTTTCACAAGTAAAATAGTGCCGTTTGGCAGGCGCGCGTTACTGCGAGCGTGAGGGCTCTGGTTGGAGCAAGTGTTCCGGAATAATCCTGTCTCAGTGATTGCATTAACATAATCTATGAAAATTGACAAGAAAATTGACAAGAATAATCCTTCCATGACAGTAGAGATAAATACTTCGGTACCAAGATCAAATGGAAGAAAATACAGCCACTTAAATTGCTGATGAGCCCAGATGTGATTAAGCTATTTATTCTCTGATTGATGACTAGGGAGAGCTAGAGCACTGTAGGGAGAGCTGTAAGGGGCCATCCATTTAGGCCAAAATCGCAGATTTTCAGACCACCCCCTCCCCCGTCCGGGTGTGTCCAAATTTTCAAAACCGCCGCCGCCCACCCCCCCCCCCCCCCCCCCCCTCCACCGGAAGTCCGGATTTCCAGCTACTTTTTAGAGTACAAAAAAAACCAACTCAAATTCATTGTTATTAAAATGCGTAGTTACTTAAAATAGACAATAATATACTGTCGAAAAAGTTTAGCACAGCTACATTTAAGTACTTAAGTGGCCATCCAATCGAATAAGTTTTAAGGCAGTAGGAGCAGTGGTTTAATTCCCCCCCGAAAAATGCACCCCCAAATCCCAAAATGCGCAGTTTTGCTAGTACCTCAGTTAATTTTTTCAAACAGTTAAGTTTTTTTGTCCCACATTCAAATGACGATTTTGCGCATGGTATAGAAAAATATTCTGAGGTAGTTGTTGTATAATACTCGGCAATTTGGACACTGAAGGTGGCAGTTACCAACCACTCCACTAGCTTTAACGGCAGTTCTTTAGGGGATATCATGACTGACCATGTAACTTTGGTGTCACTGTTTCTTCATTGAGTAAATTTGACTTTAAAAGGGCTTGTATAGTTGTAATGGTCATTGGAATAAAAAGTTAAACCACATGGGAGAAGACAATTGAATCATGTTTTTACAAACCTTTGCATTGTATGAATGGTTAAATTATGAATAAAACCCCTGATCTTCAATACAAAATAAATAATTATATAATCAATAACGATTTATTAAAATATTTTACAAATACAGGGTGGGCCAAAAGTCAGTACCCATACGTTGGCCTTTATAGCTCATTCACTGAGTGCCCAATTTAAATACTTCCTTCTGGTATACCATGGTATGACTTAGTACCACCACTGGTTCGAGGAATTTGTCAACTCGAAAAATATTCGCGTTCATTTTTTTAAAATGGAGGTTCATTTTCACATTTGTTTGATAGTTTGGATAGTCGGATCAAGCTAATAAATATTATTGAATAGTGTTTGGCCAATGGCCATTGGAATTACGTTTGTCCTGAAAGAATTAAAACTGCAGCTTCTCAGATGACCAAAATATGAAGCATGACGAGTTTATTCATTACGTGTGATCAGGTGAGTGGTTTACCTAATCACGTGATAAGGTGACCCCGTTAACTACCCCGTTAAACATTATGGGAATTGTTAAGGGTGCCCAATTAAGGTGTCGTGTCACGGTGTCACATAATCGGCTCTTACTAATTCGCTCGCCCAAAAATTTCACATGACTTTGGTTTTTATGGTATTGCAGCTGTACAAAACGGTTTTACATAAACCCTAATCCCAACCCTAACCCTAACCATAACCCCGAAGCTATCCATAACCCTTACCACAACCGTTACCCTAACCCGAGCCCTAAACAATCGAATTCATGTTTTACTAGCCTGTCACGTGACCAAAATGGTTTTTTGCCCATAACTCTCCAGGGAAGCATTTTTACCCTATACTATACGTCATGGGGGGTGATTCGGAATCAGCGTCCAAAAATACACTTAACTGATCGAGACTAATTTCATACCGAAAGGGCCTTTTCACAAGAATTTTCTTAAAATTTGTTGTATCACGTTGCGACCCCCACGGTCGTTTCACTATCGTCCGCGCACTTCGTGCGCGGCGGGTCATACAACGTATGACAAAAAATTTGGGCGAGCGATTTAGTAGGAGCGCACATAATCACCCAGTCAATTTTGTTAACGAGATACAGAAAATGCTTCGTCATTTCTAATCCGTTTTGCCTCATGTTTTCAGATCAGCAACATTTGATAATTTACCGTCTCTGAAAAAATTAGGCGTTCAGCATGTTCAGAGAAAATAATATAGGTGTTTTAATATTGAATGGGCGTGGTCTAAAATATTCGAATTTTCAAATTTTGACGACGGAATCCTCGAACCAGTAATAAGTACAGTATACCATTTGCAAAGCAACAGCTCTCAAATACAAAACACAGCGGAGCTGTTAAGGCCAACGTATGGGTATTTACATTTGGCCCACCCTGTACTAATTAAAATTATTTCATGTATTATTATGTTTTGATTAGTGTCAATTTTAATGTAATAAAAAATTATACATTATTTATATTTATAAAATGCACTGCACAACAATGCAATGCAGACATGAAAAGTCAAAAACATTGTATCACGTTGCAACCCCACGGTCGTTTCACTTTATTGTCCTGACGATACAGGGGAAGCCGCGCACTTCGTGCGCGCGGCGGGTCATACAACGTATGACAACAAAAACACCCGTTCGTTGAATATATCAAATACGGCTTGGCTTATACTAGGTAGTGCGTAGGGTGAGAATCCCTGCCACGTTTTTGGTCAGTTTCGCCGGGGCTCATGTCTCTCCTCGAGAGAGCATTAGTGTCTACAGAAAAACTGACAAATCCTAGCGAAGTCCAATCCGAACCACATCTTCCATTAGAGGTGGTGCTGGGTCAGCTGGTTACTGAACGGATTGGCCTGGAGAATGGCATAGTCCTGTTACTCTCAAGTTAACCATAGAGGGGGACAGGCGCTGTTTGCTCACGGCTGGTTCTTGGAGCCAACACCCTCAGCCCCACAGAAGTGGGAGCACTGTCGGTGGTGGCTCACCCAGATAACAGACAGTGTCTCTCCTTTTTTCTTCTTGGACTTACATTGTTGCTGGTGAGTCAGCCAGTAGCAATGCAGCATCTCACTCACTCAATCACCTCAGCAGTTCGGTCCCTTTTCTGTTTGATTACTAGTCTCACCTGGTTCTTGACCTGTCGCCCTCAGACCTACAGAGGTGGGTGCACTGTCGGTGGCCTGTCACCCAGGTTGTCGGTGGTATCTCTCCCTCTGCCTCCCCTTTGGACA